ATATATATATATATATGGAAAGGAAGAAAGAAAAGAAGGAAGGGACTGAAGACACATAAGTTAATTAGATATCTTGTAGGCAGTTAGACAGGGACACCCTCAAGTAGCCAGCCCTCAAGGAGCCAAAAAGGAGGACAATCAAGACACATTCACTGAAGGCTAGAATTGTAAAAGGAGAAAAACTACTACACTCTGGTGCTTCCCCTGGGGATAAATAGCAGTGATGGATATTCTACATAGGTTTCAGTCACCTGGGTTGGGGGCCAAGGTCTTAACCCAGCCTTTCCAGGAAATATCCCTGATCCTCACCCTTACTGAAAATCCTTGTATGCTTGCTACATGACTTGCTCCCCCATTTGACCCCCCATTTAATCAATATTACCTGGGTGACTATACTTGTAATCTTACTGGTCAGTCATGGTTTTGTCCCACCTCATGCCCACCTTGTAATTTTCCATTGGGTCTTACAGTTTTTTCCCACTTTGTAACCACCTCACCACATGGCTTTGCTATATAAAACTACTTTGAGAAGTGGGGTGAGTGGGCAGCCCACTTTCCAGTCCCCCTTCTGTCTCTCTTAGACCAAAGCTTTTGTTCCCTTAATAAATTTTTCCTACTCTCTATTAGATTTCCCTTGCCTTAAGATGGCTGCTACATAAAATAGCAGCCTCTTCCTTCCCATAATGCTGTGTGCCTTAAAGTGGCTGCCACATGGAATAGTAACCTCCTTCCCATTATGCCATGATAAAATATGGTTTCTCCCACCAAAAGACAGTCTTCATCTTCCCAACATGCCCCTCTTCCCACCAAGAAATGTAATCAGATACTTGCTACCTCCTAGCAACTAGTGATGTCACAAGCCCCGCCTAGCGATGTAACAGGCTTCTCCAATCCCTTAATACTACCTACCTCTTTCAACTCTACCCCAGCTCAGGCTAACACCACCCCAATCCTATAAAAAAAGCTCCCTGTTCTGCCATGTTGCTTTTTTCTCCTTTGTTCATAGACAGCCCAGCACATCCTCCCATAATAAAGGCTTGTTGTAATCCTGGTCTGGTCCTGGTTTTTGGCTCTTTTTACCTAACACTCTTAACCTCCACTGTTCCTAAAACTCATTCTTTGATTTTAGAGAACATGAACTCACATTTCAGATATTCAGCAGGTTTGAGAGTTACATCTCTTCCCTGTGTATCAGAAGGAAGCCAACTGGTGGAATAAACTATAATAGTACATAAGATCCTAATGAGATAATTGACAATGTGAAATGGGAAGAAAGGGGAAAGGTAATAAGGGAAAAAAATAGGAGAAAATGGAAATAAAGTGTTTGTAAATGGGGAAGGGAAGAGGAGGTGAAGGGAGGGCAGGGACAAGGGGAAAAAATGAGAACCAAGAACTGTCATGTAAAGGTAGAAGATCCCAATAACAAATGTAACTGTACTATATACCTAAAATGTAGCAATAAACTCAATGAGGAATAAAAAAAAAGGAAGCCAAATAAGAGTTAGGTTTTAACATATATATAAATAAACAAACTTTTGTCAACTCTAATTGGTTATTTTTTTACAGTTCTAAGCCTGAGGCTTGCTTTCAACATGTTAAAAGGAGATATTAGTAAGTGTTAAAGAGGTGTTAAGGACCCATTTGCACTAAATTGAGCATTGCTCATTGAAGGGTTCTAAATGATTGAAAGATAATTAAAAAGGGAACCACTTTCTCTAACAGTAAGTCTACCATTCTTTGCCCACCTGTTCACCACTTAGAATAAGTTTCAGCGTCCTCAGAGGTATGCCTCCCACCAGATCATAGGGGATGCCTCAGTCGATGTCACAGTTACTCTTCTCATTGCTGAGACAAAATATCCAAAGCCAAAAGTTAAAGGAGGAAAGGTTTATGGTAGCTCATGCTTAGCAGAGGTTTCATTCCATAGTTGGCTGGTTTCAAGGCAGGGTGGCATAGCAGAAGGGCATCGCAGAGGAGGAACAGGCATGGCATGGTGTGTACAAGGCAGTGAAATAGCAAAGAAGCAGCAGCAGCAAGCTACCTCTCCCTTTTATCTCTTCCATCTACCCACTCCCAGCCTGGGCCTTCCTGTTATCTACATCCAGAAGTATACCAAACCAAACAATGAACTAATTTAGTTATCACACACCCTTAACCCCAGAATTGCACACTCTAGAACTAACCGCCTCTGAAAAGCTCTACCTATGACCCATATGAGGTTTTGATGAGACATCTAGATACAAGCCATAATGTTCCATTCCTGACCCCCCAAAGACTCACGCACATCTCTTTATGCAAAAGGCATCTAGTCCATCTCTAAGAGTAGCCAACGTCCTAGCAGTTTCAGCATTGCTGGAAAGTCCAAGTCTAAAGCAGCCTCTGAGACTTAAGGAAAACTCTTAGCTGTGTGGCGTTGTACAAATGAAAGGTTAAATATTTCCAGTATAAAATGGCATAAGAAACACATTCCAAATAGGGGATTAGAAAGGAATAGGAAAAAGGCAAATCCAAAGTCCATCAGGGTAAACATTAAGCCCTGTAGCTCCATGTCCAGCATCTGAGGCAGTCTGTGGTGAGATGTGAATTTCAAAGGACTTAAGTGGTTCTGCCCTTTACCACTGTGTGTGGTTGCAGCTTTCATGGCTTCTCTCTTGAGCCAGGTTTGCTCACTCCTTTTCTCCAGATAATCCACGTTCCTGGCTTTTCCACTCTTCTGAGGTCTCCACTGCACCTTTGGCTTCACACTCACAGCTTCACACGCTGCCCTCTCAGGGGCACCCTCCTGGACCTTCTTCTGAAATCTGGATGGAAGCCTTCCTGCCCCCACAACTCTAACATTCTTCATGCACCTAAAACTACTACCACGAGGATGATGCAAAAAACTGCCACTAAATGGAGCAGTAGCCAGGCTTTCTTCTCTCTTGGCCGTCGGGGTGGAGTGCCTGGATTGCTTAGCACTAATCTCAAATTCTGTAGGCCACTGAAATTCTGCAACATGGTGTTATGGGACTCTCTTCTCAAAGCAAAGTCTTTCACGTTTGCAGTGAAAATGCTGGGGTCCTGCTGGTTCTTGTGATGTCCTCAGGCCATCTTTTCTATCGTACTCTTCCTTCTCAGCAACCCTTGACGTTCCATCTTTATAGGCCTCAAATTTACTGCAGCTTCCTTTCTGGCCAATCTCACAATGTTTTAAATCATTCTTTTCTCTTGATTCTCAATACAGAGCTGGCCAAAAAGCTCCCAACAGTAGCCATGCCAACACCTCAACATTAGACTGCCTCAGAATTTCTTCAGCAAGATTCATTAGTCTGCTTCCTTTAATCTCAGTCTCAGGCAAAGTTTCTGGACATGAGAAAACATCAGATAAATTTTCTGCCAAAACATAACACAAATAATCTGGAGTCTAGCCAATACAGTCCTTCTTCAAACTAGAAATCTGCTGAGCCTGGCCTTTACCTGCAGCATTTCTATCAGCATTTTGGTCTTCTGAGATGTGACAAGTCTCCCATCAAGTATAGTTTAAAGTATTGCAGGGCTGCTTCTTCAGCTGGTATTTTTAAACCTTTCCAAACTCTTCCTGTAAGCCAGTTCCATAGGCTCTTGGGCCACATGGTCAGGTTCAGTCACAGCAGTGGCCCTATTCCTGGTATCAAAGTCTGTCATAGTTATTCTTCCTGATGCTGAGACAAAATACCTGGCACACAAAGTTAAAGAAGGAATGGTTTCTTGTAGCTCACACTTTGTACATGTTTCAGTTTATAGTTGGCTAGCTTCAAAGTAGGCTGGCAGAGCAGAAGGGCAGCACAGAGGAGAAACAGTTCATGGTGGGTAAAAGGCAGTGAAGTAGCAAAGAAGCAACAGCAGTAGGCTACCTCTCCCTTTTATCCCTTCCAGGACACCTACTTTTTGGGTGGTGCCACCAACTCCAATGGGTGGGCCTTCCCATTGTCCACACCCAGAACTGTGCCAATCTAATCAGTGGACTAATTTAGCAATCATACACCCTTAATCCCAGCACCTACACTTAGTCACAGCATTACACTCCCTAGATTCATCCACCTCTGAAAAGCTCCACTTACAACTGCATGCAGCTTTGCAGGGATATCTAGACACAAACCATACCAGTCACCTTTGTGTGGTAATTTGCTTTGTCCACAGTAGGTATTTAAGTGAATGTCAGTGGGATTTGAGCTGCATGCTTAGAACACATCAGTTCTTAATTCTGAATACTAAAAAACAATAATTTTACAATTATCCACAAGATACTGACTTGCTACAGCCAAGTAACAGAAAACTTCCTGTTTCTTCCACACTTGCCTGAGGCCCTCCAAACTCTGACAGTGCTGTAATTCAGCTACCCCATGTGGCAGAAAGCCAACCTGTTTATTTATAGAGGAAATGCTTGGGAACCTGGCTGTTTCTTTTAGATTTCTTTTGTGTTCTGAATTATAAACATCTCCACCCCTAATTGACCTTCTATTAAAATCTTTACATGGATCCCCAGTGGTACTCAGTATAAAGTCTCAATTCCACCCAACTTGGTATTAGGCATTTCCCTAATGTTCCTCAGTGTCTCACACCCCTGAGGCTCTGTTCCCTCTGTTCCCATGTCAGAGAAATGCTTGTTACATTCCCTTGTGGAGAGAGTCCACTCCTTCTTGACCTTCTACCCAGGCCTGTACTATGCATACACAGCATTCATGCTTCACCCTCTCCAAACACTTAACATAGAATGCCATGCTATGAATGCCCTGTGTACACTAAAACCTTACTGGCTCTCCAACTCCCTGAGGACAACAGTCCTTTCTTCCAACTCTCTGCAAGGCCTCTCCACATTTCTTCATTTACACCTGTTGCACGAATGACATTGAAAAGAACCTGCCGAATGTCAAGTGTTTTCAAGCCTGAGAGACAATGGCAAATGCTACTTCTTTTATAAACTTCCTAGATTGTTTCCTCACTTATATTTTAGTGGTGTTTGTTAATTTTGTCCTGACTTCCCGTGGAAACTTCCTTCCAACCTTGAAAACATCCCAGCAAGGTGATTTTGCAAGTGCATTCACAGTTCACACACCTAAATTCAGTAGCTCAGACAAAGTCTTCCGTCACCTCTTATTTCTCTGTAATTCATGGTTATTAGTAGCAGAAATAGCAAGCTTGATGTCCTAGGCTTTGTTCTTTTTAACAGTGCCACTCTTCAGGAAGTGTGAAGAGGTTCTGAGGGAAGAAGTCAAAAAGGCAGCAAGCTGAGAGAAGCCACCTGCAGAGTGCAAAGACCAGGGCTCAGGGTCTATGGCCAGACGTCCTCTGGATCCATGCCTTCCAGACAGTTCAGGGCTCACACCTGTGATCATCCTATTTGTTTATTCTTGCATCATGAAAGTCTCTTTCTCTGCTGTATTGTTTCTATCAGGACACAAGTGTGCTATGTTTTTTTATTTTCAGAAAAGTTATTCTCGGTCTATCCAGCTACTGTTCTATTCTTTGCTCTCCTTTACTGCAAACACACAAAAATGGCTCCTCTGGTGTTCTCTTGCTTTCCTGCTTCCCCGCCACCCCAGAAAGGCAATTCTGTTAAGTTAACAATGATATCTAATGTCCTATCCAATGATCTTTGGTCCTAACGTAACTCAGTTCAGTTGCAGAAATGCATTGCTTCCTTCTTGAAATGTCGCCTTCCCTTAGCCTCCGTGGTTTACTTCTTGTTTACCAGGCAACCTCCTCATCGGGTCTTCTCAGCCTTCTTGGCTGGATCTCCTCTCTCTGTCCTCTAAGGGTAAATGTTCCACAGCTGTCCCTTAACTCATTCTCTACTCTATGTCCAGACTCCTTAATGCTTTCAACTATCCCACGGCGTCTAACATTGTCATTGCGGTGATGATCACTACATTTTCATCTCCAGTATCCTCTTTCCATACCAAACTGACTCTTAATATCTTTCCCCT